CCACTCATAAGGAGCTGGGCACACCTGTGCACACCTGGCATTGTCCCTGCTACTAGGAGTCATGGGTGGGGCAGCAGAGTGAGCTTAGGAGTTCCAGGCTAGACCCCTACCCTTCAGAGAGCAAGGGGTGGGGGAGGACTTTGTCCTGCCCCCCCCTTCACTGAGCATCCCTCCCTCCCTCCTCCTGGTCCAGCTTCCTCCCATGGCATGGCATGTCATCTGTACTTGACATAACTTGACCTACTCTTTCAGGTTCAGCTCAATTCCCACCTGCCCCCAACCTCTTTCTTGACCAGGCTACGTTGTCGTACTTGATGTTATAAGTCAAGTAACACTTATGCCACCCTGGCCTTGGGCCAAGCTCCATTGCCATTGTTCAGTAGCAGGTCCTGCCACTCCCAGGGGCAAGCACGCTCTCACTCTTTCTACCCTGTTGCCCCTGAGTTGTCCCAAGGGGCCAGCGGGCCAGGTGACGCTGCCTTTGCAGGTGACGCTGCCTTTGCAGGTGACGCCACAGCATGCTTTCTGTCCCCAGTACTGTCTTCTAGGAAGATTTGACCATGGGAGGGTTATTTGTCAGGGCCATTTTATCCAAAATGTTTGCTTATGGGCCAGAATGGGCAGCTTCCTTCAAATTAATCCCTCTGGGATTTTATTTTCATGAAAACATTAGTTTGTTTCATTTCTTCACAGCCTTGAGGCCAACATTGCCACATGGGCATTTGATATTTAAATAGTTGGACCAGAAAAAATAAGACAAAGATAAAGGCTGGTCACAAGGAGTTATTTCTCCTGAAACAGTACCTGCTCTGGCTGGTTGACAATTAACTGTTGGGTGAGACTGATATGTGTGTTCTTCACATGCTTACACATTAGTGTGGATCTTGCTCCTATGTCAGGAAGTATTTTGGCCCTGAGCATTTTTATTACAGTTACGTAATTTATTTTATTGGGGGGATACATATGCCCAGGTACTCTTGTGGAGGTTAAGTTGGGTAATGTGAGACCCAGGTCATCATTCTTGGAGGCCGGCACCTTTACCCACTGAGCTGTCTCAACAACTTTAAAAACAGATGAGGATAGGTTTCCCTCCCACCCATGTGGACTAACTAGGGGTGTTCCCAGACATGCCCTTAAACCTGTGTCATAAGGAATTCTGTAATCACAGTGTAATCACAAAGAATACCATATTGTCATCGGCTGTCATGCATCCTCAAAGAATAGCTATTATCTGTCTAATGGCTGACTGAGAAGGAAGGAGATACATGATAGGTCTATTTCTAAAGCTCCAGCCTGCATATGAATGTTCTCTCTGTCTCGATCTCTTTCTCTGTGTCTCTCTCTCTCTCTGTCTGTGTGTCTGTCTGTGTGTGTGTGTGTTTGGGTGTGTCTGTCTTTCTCCACCCTTCCCTTCTTCCCAGTATTGTACAGAGAGTTGTTAAGCCAAGCTGTGCTGTGACCTTCAGCTCTTCCCTCACACAGCTTCAAGATGATGGCTCTAGCCAATGCCTGCCCCTTGGCATGTAGGCTAGCCAGACTAAATTATATGATATGGAACTTCCTTCCACTCCCTGAAAACCTATAAAAGTAAGGGATTTCCAACTGGGGGCAAAGTATCGGAACACATGAGCCTATGGAGTTACTCCCATTCAAAGCACCAGAATTTCCTTTCCCAAACAAGCCTTCCACTCTGACTGGACACTTACTGTTATAACAGGGGTTATAAGACAGGGTTATGGCCACTTTCTGTTATAAGAGAGGCTTTATTGCATGTTCTTTCCATGAAGATGGATCTCTCATGAGATTTGGAGAAAAAATGTAGCTGTCCAGTGGGAAGGGAGAAAGGCCTAAGCAGTTATTGTGTTGGAATTCTTGCTTCTCATTCAGTGAGAGGCTTCAACAACAGACTGAGGCTTCTCTGTTCTTGTGTTGAATATGTCCTGTTTTCCATCTTGCTTTGATTATAAGGGAAGCCTGGTTAATGGGGAAAGCAGAACCAAGGCTCTTAACCTGGCTTCTTCCAAACTGTCTGTCTGACTTCTCTTCAAAATTTCCTCCTCCTCTTCCTTCTGAACCTCTGACTTCCATCACTCACCGGGATTCACATAGCCACCCAGTGTTCTACAAGGAGATTTAACTGATCAGAACTTCAAAGATTGTGGAAGAGTCTGGGATGTTGAAGGTCCAGAGCCTAATTATAATTTCCCTAGAGCTATCTTTAACTTCCTAAATAACCATTCCTTTCCCTCCTTTACGACTCAGCTCACACCCTGTGACTGCTGGGAGAAATCTCGTGAAATGTATTCATTTAACAGACTACTAGCTTTCACTCACCTAGCGGCTGAGTGTCATCAGATAGCAGTGTCATCAGATAGCAGTGTCATCAGATAGCAGTGTCATCAGATAGCAGTGCCATCAGATAGCAGTGCCATCAGATAGCAGTGTCATCAGATAGCAGTGTCATCAGATAGCAGTGCCATCAGATAGCAGTGCCATCAGATAGCAGTGTCATCAGATAGCAGTGTCATCAGATAGCAGTGTCATCAGATAGCAGTGTCATCAGATAGCAGTGTCATCAGATAGCAGTGTCATCAGATAGCAGTGCCATCAGATAGCAGTGCCATCAGATAGCAGTGTCATCAGATAGCAGTGTCATCAGATAGCAGTGTCATCAGATAGCAGTGCTATCCCCACCTATCTTATGTTTACACCAAACATATTTGAAAAGGGTCTGGGTTTATGACCTTTTTTTCCTACAAAACCATCACAAAATTGTTACCTTATTGGAACATGGTATTTGGAGGAACCTAAATTCCCAGACTATGGTCACTAATATTTGACTCCAGAATAAATGGCTTCTTTTATTCCTTTGAGATGAGAGCTGCTTGTTTCATTTATAATGCTGTAAAGACAGCCTGCTCAGCTGGGTGTTGGCGTTGAAGGCCTTTAATCCCAGCACTTGGGAGGCAGAGGTGAGTTTGAGGCTAGCCTGGTCTACAAATAGAGTTCTAGGACAGGCAGGGATACATAGAGAAACCCTGTCTCAAAAAACTAAAACCAAAACAACAAAAATAAACAAAATCACAGCCCCCCAAAACCTCCAAAGCAATAACAACAAGACCAGTGTGCTCTAGCGCCTTCCCCTTGGCAGTAAGATGAGACCTAAGATGGCTGGTCTGGTAGCCGTTTGGATGCTGTGCCTGTTACACAGCTCCAGTCTTCTCAGGAACCCCAGTCTGCCCTCTCCCTATGCAGCTGAGCAGATGAAGACTTCAGATCCTGCTAAAGCTGCAGTGGTTTTTGACATTACCTTCCGAGTGGCATAGCGTCCCCCAGTACAGCCTTAAAGAAAAGCAAAGTTCTGAGCTGTAAACCTTCCTTGGTTCCTTAGGTTCCAAAACTGCTTAGCTGCTTATAGTGGTCACCAGGCAACGGGTCTTCAGAATCCATTCACAGAAGCAGTGAGCTCAGTTGGGGTATCTTCAACTACTCATCAAACTTCCTTCTTTGTAAACTGAGTTTGAGAAATTGTTTCATATTTGTTGGTTGACAGCTTGCCAGATTTCCTAGTTACTCTTTGAAAAAAAAATCAAAACACCTAAAACCACCAAACCCTCTAAGCCTATAGAGCTTCATCTGCCCACTCCCTGGCTCCAAGAGTTCTTACATTCTGCTCAGAAAGAGCCAACCTCAGAACACCTGGATAAGTATCTCCTGGTATTCTCCAGAGTACCTGGCAGGTTAGAGTTCAGTGACTCCAGACCAGGACAGTGTGAGATCATTGGAAACTAGATAAAAAGCGTTGTCTGAGAGAGTTCTTGAGTAGTTATCCTAGTCTCATTTTCTCCAACTGTGACAAAATTCTAAGCAAAACCACTAGAGGAGGAAAGGGCTTATTTGGTGACTACTTCTGGGTTATAGTCCGTCATTAATGAGAGTCAGAGCAGGAGCCTGGAAGCAAGAGCCACTGAGAACCCTGACTTGCTTTCCTTTTGCTCATATTCAGCCAATTTCCTTTCTCCTCCTCCTCTTCCTCCTCCTCCTTCGTTTTTAAAACTTAATTTTGTTTTATGTGTCTGGGTGTTTGGCCTGCACGTATGTCTCAGATGCTCTAGAGTTGGACTTACAGATAGCTGTGAGCTGCCATATGGGTGTGAGAATCGAACCTAGATTCTTTAGAAGAACAGCAGGTGCTCTTAATCACTGAGCTAACGCTCCACTGTCCAGCCAGCTTTCTTATAAAACCCAGCACACTCTGCCCAGGGGTAGAAACAACCCTGTAGGTTGGGCCCTCCACATCAATCATCAGTGTCACATCGGCCAATATGATGGAGGCAATTCCTCACCCGAGGTTCCCTGATCCACGGTGTTTCTAGTTTGTGTCAAGAGGACAAAAACTAACACAGTATTCTTCCCGGGAGCAGACCCAAGTCCAGATTATAGTTTCCGGTTTCTGTAATAACAGAGATGTGCAATTAGCCTTGTTATTAAGTTCAAGGCCTTGGGAGAAAAGAAGTTTATTTTTGGTTGAAAATGATAGCTTATGAAACAGTTCGGAAACGTGTAAAGTCCACGATGAGTAGGAAATGTTTGCCTAGCGGGCCAGTATGAGAGCACAGTCTGTTAGATTAGCCATGACATCGTTCTGCTATTTTTACACATGTATGGAATCCAGGTAAAGGGTTATGGGATATGAGACATGAAATCCATTGGACATGGGACCTTATATGTAGGCTAAGCACGTGCAGACTGCACAAAGCAAAAAATAGCGGTGCACATTTTTGAAAGAGCAGTACTAAGATTAGTAACAAGTGTCTATTACTCCATAACGTGATGAAACTCAATTGCAATCTTACATTCTTGAGACTGAAAACTTAGGAATTTGGGGACTGGAGGTCTTGCTGGGTGAGAGGACTTCTTCATAGGGCAAAGAGCACCTGCAAAACAGTACTAGGAAGGGTGTTCGGCCATAACAGAGTCTTAACACACAGGCGTCTAGTCAAAGTCTGTCACTACTTTTGCTTTTGTTGCTTTGCAGCTCTGAGCGCCCCTACAGCTCAGCCCAGTGGACTCTTAGACTGCAGCCAGCCAGCCAACCGCTAGAGGATCTCTAACTCTACCCCAAGGAACCGAGGCCTGAAGTGAAGAAGTAAAATGGCGTCCTCGTCTCTCGCTGTCCTGCGAACAAGCAGATTATGCCAATGGGGCTGGAAGAACCGGGCGCGTGTGTCAGAGTCTCTGCGGTTCTGTCCGGGAGGCTGGACCACTCCGGCTCCTGCGCGGACAAATGCGACGCTGATCCTGGATCCCGCGGGCCGCAGCTGCTGGGACGAGCCGCTCAGCATCTCCGTGCACGGCCTGGCCCCCGAGCAGCCCGTCACGCTGCGCGCCGCCCTGCGCGACGAGAAAGGCGCGCTCTTCCGCGCCCACGCGCGCTACCGCGCCGACGCCCACGGCGGCCTGGACCTGGCGCGCGCGCCCGCGCTGGGCGGCAGCTTCGCGGGGATCGAGCCCATGGGGCTGCTCTGGGCCATGGAGCCCGAACGGCCATTGTGGCGCCTGATCAAGCGCGACGTGCAGACGCCCTTCGTGGTGGAGCTGGAGGCGCTGGACGGCCACGAGCCCGACGGCGGGCGGCTGCTGGCGCGGGCGGTGCATGAGCGTCACTTCATGGCTCCCGGGGTGCGGCGCGTGCCCGTGCGCGAGGGCCGTGTGCGCGCCACGCTCTTCCTGCCTCCAGGTGAGCAGCTCTCCACCTTCCCTTTGCTCAAAGTTCCTTTGTGATTTTAAGTGAAGAGAAAGGACCTAGGACTCAGAGGGACTGGGTAGTAGAGGCCAGTTATGATGATGCTGTTTCCCTGAAGCTGGTTCCTCAATTCCACTGCTAAGATAAAGGGCATCATAAGGGGAGAGACTCCCAAGAATGAAGTCCTTAGTGTTACACCCATCCACCCTCAATTTTGTTTTAAAATTTCTTCTGTTTTACCTTGTGGTGGTGTGGGAACTCAAACTAGGCAAGCACTCTGCTACTGTGCCCAAGGTATGTGGAGGTTCCAGTGAATCATGTGGGTGAATCAGTGGAACTCCAAACCAGTGATGGGTGAAGCAGTCAACTCCGGAAGAGGCCATTTGTATCATACCATTGAGATAAACTCCACAAGGCTGGACTGTGGGTTTGGCTCAGTCGAGTGATCCTGGGTTTCATTCCCAGCACAGCATAAACTGGGCTTGGTGGTGGTGCAGGGCTGTAATCCCAGCACGTGTAAGTCAAGGTAGGATATCCAGAAGCTGTGGGTCATTCTGGCAACATAGCAATACTGGGTGATGCTGGGATCTTTGACAGCCAGCCTCAAAACAATAAAATGGCAAATTAGACTAAATCAACAAAGCATTTAAATGACACTTGTGAGTGGATATGGAGAAGTGCACACAGATCCATGGCCGTGCTGAATAAGGACCCCGAAAGGGCTTCTGTCGTCTTGGTGCTATTCTGTTCCTGAGTAGGTACTTGCCAGATGTTTGCTGGGTCATTGTTTAAGTTGGATAAGTGGAAAACAAGCCTCCTTATACAAATGGTAAATAATATCAAGGACATGAGATCGTGCAGAATGAAAACGCAGCCTTTTGCAGTCTATACCCACTGTCTTAGCAGAATGCATGTGAGATTCATGGGGTCTTCTATCTACCAGGCCTCTGTTTTGATTCATTTGCCAGTTGAAAGTCTTTAGGCAGTCTGTGGAGATTATGAAGCTGTTACAAATGCTTGCAGAGAAGTTTGTATGTGAACCCAAATTTTCACTTGGGTAAACAGGTGTGGGATGAGATGGTAAAAATAGGTGTGATTTTCTCCCCCCCCCCCCAAGATAGGATTTCTCTATGTAGCCTTGGCTGTTCTGGAACTTGCTCTGTATAGATCAGGCTGGCCCTGAACTTACAGAGATCCTCCTGCTTCTGCCTCCAGAGTGCTGGGATCAAAGGTGTGGGCTGCCACCCACTGCATCCCACAGGTACATGGTTTTGCATCACACCAGCATTGTGTGGTGGTTCTGCGTGCTGCACACTCTCACTGGCAGTTGGCACAGTCAGTTTCTGATCAGAGAGGATAGTGGCATGTGCATGTGTATTTGAAATCAAATTTAGTATGCCATATGTGCTAGAAAGCGCTCCACCCCAGCCCTCAGTTTATTTTTAATGTTAAAAGTAACACATGCTCTCTGTAAAAGTCTGTGGATTTGAGTCTTAGATACAGAGGGGAATGGGGCTGGAAAAGAAACTGTAGAATTATCCTAGGCCTCCCTGGATGCTTGGAGAAAGGAGTTCCTTCAACCTCCTCATGGTCAGAAAACATGCTCATCCCAGATTAAACAAGAGATGCCCATTAATGCCACTGCAAACACTTCTTAGTAATGTTCAGTTCTGTTTCTTCCCCAGAACCTGGGCCCTACCCTGGGATCCTGGACCTCTTCGGAGTTGGAGGTGGCCTTCTGGAGTACCGGGCTAGTCTGCTGGCTGGGAAGGGCTTTGCTGTCATGGCTCTGGCTTACTATAACTACGATGACCTCCCCAAGGGCATGGACACCATGCGCATGGAGTATTTTGAAGAAGCTGTGAATTACCTGCTCAGCCACCCTGAGGTTAGATGTCCCTCATTTTATTGGCCCCTGTCATATCTCCTCATGTGCTTGATTCACAGAATAAGGGAACTGATGACAGACTCTCTCTCTTTATTTCACAAAGAGCCCAAGCCACTGGAGATTTCTAGGTTTGACACAAGGAAAGGGAAGAAAAAGGTAGAGCCCTCCCCAGCCAGTGCTCATTCAAATGATGTACTCAGCAGCTCTGTCCTGCCTGTGTCCCCGCTCCCCTTGTCCTGGAGCCCTCATGTCCCCATGTCCCTGTGGGAGAAAAGGTGGAGGCACAGGGTGAACTTGACAGTCAACAGCAGGAGAACCGGGCTCTGAGCTTTGCAGCCCTAATTTTACTAATTTCTAATTCTGACTTTGGGACCTCTGTTTCATCCTTTAATAAACAGGGTAATTACCACAAGAGGGGAAAAAAAAGTTCGTTATGAGAGGTCACCCAAAAAGCCATTTACTTACAGCCTAGAGGACACTGGGATTCAGGACAGGAGCAGTCCTTGTGGGACAGTGCCAACCCAAAACCACAGAAGGCACTGAGTAGGAATGGAAGGAAGGAACGTCGTACAACAAACAACTTCCCAAAGGTTTTGCAGGGAACCAGGGTACAGAACAGAGTCATGACTAGTGTGGCCTGGGGCACAGGGCTGTGAGGAAATAGAAGGGGCTCAGAGCAGGGAGGCTCTGAGGAGGACCAGCAGAGAGAAGTCAAGAGAGGAGGCTGGAAGTAAGCCTGGGAGGCCAACCCTGGAGTAAGATAGCGGACAGCATCCCAAACACAGCTAGAGGTGGCGGCTGAGACTGTGGGGCATCTGAGAGCTTGAGCTGTGATGGGAATAGGTAGATTGGGGAGTGAGAAAATGAGACACTCCTCCCGATGGCTTCTGTCCTCCCAGTGCCATATGAAGAGCTGGCGGTGGAGGGTCGTGTGGGGGCTCAAGGGGCTGAGGAGGTAAGGGAGGATGTGAGGTGGTCGTTTGGAGAAGTGGAAAGCAAAACGCCAGTGATGTGTGGCAGGTCAGTGCTGGTGTCAAATGAAAGATCAGTCAGCAGGAATGTTTGTTTTCCTTAGATTCTTAGGGTCTCAATATTCTCCTGGCCAAAGGGGGGGGGTGCAAACGTCTTTTTAGAGTAGCTCCATTCCTGCTAGGGTGGTTCAAAAATAGGTCCATATGCTGATCCTGGTCCATATAGCTTTCCAGCCGGGCCAACTCACTGCCCGATGCTGTTCCTGGACTAATTCTCATTCATTCATTCATTATATCTTTCTCAGGTAAAAGGTCCAGGAATTGGGCTGCTTGGCATTTCCAAAGGGGGTGAACTTGGCCTTGCTATGGCCTCCTTCCTGAAGGGCATCAAAGCTGCTGTCGTCATCAATGGTTCCGTGGCTGCTGTTGGCAACACCATATACTACAAGGATGAGACTATACCCCCTGTGTCTATCCTGAGAAATCAAGTCAAAATGACCAAAGATGGCCTCAAGGATGTGGTCGATGCTCTGCAAAGCCCTTTGGTTGAAGAGAAGAGCTTCATCCCTGTGGAAAGGTCTGACACAAACTTCCTGTTGCTAGTAGGTCAGGATGACCACAACTGGAAGAGCGAGTTCTATGCCAATGAGATCTCCAAACGCTTACAGGCCCATGGGAAGGAGAAGCCCCAGATCATCTGCTACCCAGAAGCAGGGCACTATATTGAGCCCCCTTACTTCCCACTGTGCAAGGCTGGCATGCACCTCCTGGTGGGTGCTAATATCACCTTTGGAGGGGAGCCTAAGCCTCATGCCATGGCTCAGGTGGATGCATGGCAGCAACTCCAGACTTTCTTCCACAAACACTTGGGTAGTAAGAGCCGCCGCCCGGGGGTGTGAAGATCTCCAGGTGGTGCAGCGAGATGAAGCTCGAATGGCCCATGCTCACATCTACCGAGCCCTGTGACGAGTTGCGCCCGTACCCATTATCTCATGGTTCTGGAGAAAACCTCAATATACTATCAGAGTATCAGTTCTGGCTAGTTCATATAGATATATTCTTTTTTGTTTTTTTTAATAATTTATTTTTTTATATGAATTGGTGTTTTGCCTTCTGTGTGAGGGTGTTTGATTCCTTGGAATTGGAGTTACAGACAGTTGGGAGCTGCCATATGGGTGCTGGGAATTGAACCCAGGTCCTCTGGAGGAGCAGTCAGTGCTCTTAACCTCTGACCCATCTCTCCAGCCCCATATAGATATATTCTAATTCCTTAAAGTTTTTTCTTTTCTTTCTTTCTTTCTTTCTTTTTTTTTTTTTTTTTTTTTTTTTTTTTTTTTTTTGAGACAGTGCTTGTCTGTGTAGCCCTAGGTGGCCTGGGAGTTACTCTGTGGACCAGGCTGACCATGAGTTCCCATAGATCTGCCTGCTTCTGTCTCCTGAGTGCTGGGAGTAAAGGCATGCACCACCACTGCCCATCATAAGTTTTTTCTTTATGCAATAACATAAGTGCCTATGAAAGACTGAGGCTATAGCTTAGTGGTAATGCATTTGTCTTTTTTTGCATTGTGCCCTGAGTTCATTCCTCAATGCCATGAGACAACAAAGAAAGTAAAATATAAAATAGTAAAGTATAATATAAGTAAAGTAAAGCAAAATATAAAAATAGTGCCTGCTGAGCTGCTGAGATGGTTCAGTGGGTAAAGGTTGCAGCCATGCTCACACCCCAGGACCCACACGGAAGAGAGAACCAACTCTGACAAGTTGTCTACACACACACACACACACACACACACACACACTCATGTAGATAAAATGTCATCTAAAAATAGTGCCTATCTAAAAAAAGAGTTATTTTATCACGTGAATTAAAGCAAACCTTAACTATGAACATTCTTATTAAAATAAAGAATTATTATAAACAAAATGGTGTCCTTTAATTCTCGGGCTAAGGTCATTATTATTATGTTCCTTCAAGAAGCAGTTTTGGGGTGACTTGGGAGCCTCTTTTCAGATGCTTGACACACATAGAGGCAGCAGTGAAAAGACTTTTGTTACACACATATCCAACAAAGCAACCCAACCATGGCTAAAGAATCCCCTGCATTTGATGAGCTCTATGCCGTGACGACACATGGGGATGAGGGACATTTAGTCCAGGAAGCAGTAGAGCAGCTGGGGAAGGAAACCGAGTCTAGGAATCCCATGTTGTGTCAACCTTCAAACCTGTCTGTGAGGCAAGGAAGAGCATGTGTGTAAGCATGCACTCTTGTCTCCACACATGTAGTAGTTTCAGCTGTTGGTCACATGAGCACATGAGGAATTCTCTACCCAGGGTTAGGTTCATGGTTGAGCCCATCTAACACAAGATAGGCAGTTAAGAGAAAGCCACTGAAACCTATTCAATTTATTATTATTATTTTGGTTTTGAAACAGGGTTTCTCTGTGTAGCCCCGGTTATTTTGGAACTCACTCTGTAGATCAGGCTGACCTTGAACTCATAGAGATCCAGTTGTCTCTGCCTCCCGAGCGTTGGGTTTAAAGGCATTTGCTGACATCACCCTACCTCAGATTTAGTATTATTAAGCCCACATGTGAGCACGTCTGTGTTCACAGAGGCCAGAAGAGTTCATGCAGGTTTTTTTGTTTTTTTCCAATACTCTTGGTGGGCCCACCACTCAGCTCCCAAATAAATATTATGCACGAAGACACTATTTCTTATGAATGCCTGGCCTTAGCTTGGCTTATTTCTAGCCAGCTTTTCTTAACTTAAATTATTTCATCTATCTTTTGCCTCTGGGTTTTTTACTTCCTCTGTTTCTCTCTTTCCTTCTTATTCCATCTTTGGCTATGCGGCTGTGTGGCTTGTCCTTTCTTTTCTTGATCCTTGGTCTCTCTTGCTCCTTCTAGATCCCAGATTTCTCCTCCCATTTATTCTCTTTGCCTGCCAGCCCTGACTATCCTTTCTCTGCCCAGTTATCAGCTGTACAGCTCTTTATTAGACCAATCAGATGTTTTAGACAGGCAAAGTACCACAGCTTCACAGAGTTAAAAAAATCCAACTGAAAGAAGGCAACACATCTTTGCATCATTAAAACAAATGTTCCACAGCATAAACACATGTAACATATCTTAAAATAATATTTCACAATAACTCTAGACTCCATGGAGCACACACACACACACATACACACACACACACACAAACAAAAATAAAATGCATCTTAGAAAGAAAGAAGGAAAGGAAGAAGGAAAGGAAGAAAAGAAAGGAAAAGCCTGAGTGCTGAGAACCAGTGACATGTTGAATGTTTCACCTACTTAGGAAGGCAACATCTTCAGTTGGATGATCTGAGGGAAGGAGTCTCCCCTTTCTAGAAAACAAAAAACAAACAAACAAACAAACAAACAAAAAAAAAACAACCTGCCTAGGGTTTTTTAGGTTGTGGCAGGTTCCACTCATTGACTTATAAAATAAGCTAATAAGTTTTTTTTTTTTTTTTTTTTTTTTTTGAGACAGGGTTTCTCTGTATTGCATTGGAGCCTGTCAGGGAACTAGCTCTGTAGACCAGGTTGGCCTCGAACTCACAGAGACGGGCCTGCCTCTGCTTCCTGAGTGCTGGGATTAAAGGCATGCATCACCAACACCCAGCTAGCTAATAAGTTTTGAGGCCTGGGAGAAAACTAAGTATTTCTAAAACATTCAGGTGGGTACACCTGGCCATTCTATTAGATGTCTGATCTGGGATGACACTCGCCTGCAGGAATGGATTTGTGCTAAAGTCAATTAGGAAAAGGTGACACTCTTTCCTTTCTTCATTTTCATTTGATGATAAAAAATGGCATTTTCGAATAGGCATACTTTGACAAGATGATCTAAAAATTTGCTTCATCTATTTGTTGGGGAAGAACAAAAGCCATCAGGCACTGGAACATCCACACTGAAATTCTTTCTCTGCCAGTGGCCAACAGGGGATCAGATATTTCCCCACAAACCGACAAGACTAGAAAGATGTGTTTCCTGGTTGTAATTCAAGAAGAGCTCTGTACAGTGTGATTGCCAAAGGAGCCTCATATAAACGTAAGGAGGAAAGTGAGCTTTGGCAAGGCAGACTCCAACCTTTGCAGATCATCAGCCTGAAAGGCTCGGAGTGCTGGGAAACCTTGATAATGTAAGAAGAAGGCCTACCTGGGAAAGCATTTAGAGCTGAAACTAGAGTTGGGGAGATGTGGGATGAGTGTGTTGTGTTTCCTGGTTTTCAGAAACAAAGTGGACAGGCTCTGAGCATCAATCAGTAAGCCTCCTGCACACCAGGTTCTCATCCTCCAGCTCTCTACTCCCACAGGAAGCAGAGGGCACATGTGTTCAAGTCCCTCCCCACAAGTCACCTCAGAGGTCAGTGAAGACAGAGTGTAGACAGGTGGTGGCCAGGAGAGCCACTGAGGGGCTGGTACTGAGCTACTGAGGGTGCTGAGAAGAGGCCGGGTGACTGTGTGGGATGTCCAGTGTCACACACAGCCTGACTCCTGGGAGCTCTAGACTGCATGGACCACTAGGATGAAGGCAGAAGGACAAACAGACCAAGGCTGAGCTAGGAGAGAAAGTCTCACAGGGGACTCTCCTGGGATGGGAATCAGGAACCTGGCTACAGTTTGATGAGACTGAAGAGGTCAGCAGGAGCCTGACTGTGGGAGAGGTGAGAACATCTGCAGTCAGGGAATCAGGGATGCTAAAGGAGGTCTTTCAACCAGCTCGAGGTGAGCTGGTTCCTTCCTCCAGCAGTTTTCCCTTCACAAACAAGAGAGCTGGCACTCCATCCCCACAAAGATTCACACCCTAGTTTCTGAATGCTCAGAGCATGGTGTTGGCTGGGAGAAGATGGAGGTGTTGGTAGTGAGCACAGAACTAGGGTAAGCCAATGTTCTACTCTGTTCATGTAACAGAAGCTTGACCCCGGTACCTGGTCAGACATCCTTGTGATTTGCTAACATTACATCAGTGAAAAAGTCACCAGCACAGCACCTGATAGAGTCACCCTCCCCAACAGTCGGGTGAGTTAGAAGTAGGGTAAAGTTCATGGCAAGCTCTCAACTGGGTAACTTCTGTTCAAAGTTCTGGGAAGTGAGCCAATAACAGGCTCAGCAGGATAATGTCTTTGTACCCAGGCTGGCTGTGTGGAAAATCATACCTTCCACCTATCTAAGTCTCAGGATGGTGGTGTCCTCCTTTAAGGCAAAAGAATGAATCTGCAAAAAGAGAGAGACATAGGATCTCAATGCCTTCTGCAGGACAATGCTAACTTCCCTTAGCTGTTGTCTTGGTTAGGGTTTCTATTGCTGTGAAGAAACATCATGACCATGGCAACTTTTTTTTTTTTTTTTTTTTTTTTTTTGAGACATGGTTTCTATATAGTTTTGGAGCCTTTCCTGGAACTCTCTCTGTAGACTAGGCTGGCCTTGAACTCACAGAGATCTGCCTGCTTCCACACTGGGAGTAAAAGCATGCCCTACCACCACGTGGCTTATAACAGGCTTTCTTTTGGGCCATCAACCAGCTCCCAAATCATGGCATGGAGACTTATTATTAGTTATGAATGATCAGCCTTACCTTAGCTCTTATTTTAATCTGTTTCTCTTTATCTATGTTTTGCCTGGGGCTTCTTTCTTTCTCTCTGTCCTACTTTCTTACTTCTTATGTCTGTCTGTCCAACTGGTGGCTTCTGGCCTCAGACCTGTTCCTCTCATTTCTACTTTTCTCCTTCTTTTTCTC